AGAGAGTGGGGAGTGTTTATACAAAAAAAAAAACACACACACACACACACACACACACACACACACACACACACACACACACACACACACACACACAAAAAACCTGATTTAAAGTCATTTATTTCTGAATGTTCTATAAAAGAACATTTGATTTTAAGACATGCCGGAACACCAAATTCTAAGTGCACGTGTCATCCAAAAGTCTTTACACTCCTCTGCCAATGTATCATAATGTGAGAGCAAGTTTACTTCTTGCTGAACAATGCATAAAATATTTCCACATTTTCCCCTATCCCTTTGTAAGTTAAAGGGGTGGCTTAACTTTTTAAAATCAGGGTAGGTAACGTCATTGAATCTATAGCCAATTTCAGCTCTCCAGTGGAGGCAATATCTTCAGCAATAAAAGTACATAATGCAAGTATTTTGGTTGTTTAAAATTGGATTTTCTGGATTTGCTGCCAAAGTCTAGCTGCAAATCAGCACAAGCCATTTACACAGGGCTTTCCTGGGCTGCTGAAATTCAGTGGCATGCTCTTCAGTTATGCCTTTAGGGCTGCACCCGGCTCATGAACTGCATAGTGCAGTTTTGAATGAAAACTAAAAATGCAGGGAAGAAAGCAGGAACACTGGAGTGGCAGTCCTCCCACAGGTCCCATTCCACCCACCCTACCAAGCCACAATGTTTATTGATGTACTGTTCCTAAAGCCAACAATTGAAAGAACTGGGTATACCAATGTCATACCTTGCTTAAAACATTTGTCTGTCTATTCCCTGTGAAATGATACTTGAATCTTTTCTGAAGAGGTGCCAGCATCATCTGCATTGGCAATATAATAGGTGGAGAAGGAGGAAGAAGGTACTTTTCTGGAAGCTGCTTAGGCTTGGTTAACAGTTCATCGCTGAGATTTTTTTATAGTCAAAGTAAAATATATAATGGATACAGATGCAGTTTTATTCCCATAGGAATAAATCCAGAGTTCTTTAAGTGAACAAAATGATGTGTCTTTACGCAAGCATGGGAAGAGGTATTATCACTGACTGGCATCAATTATCCCCTTTGGCTGGCACCCCAGATCCATATTCCATACGATCTGAGAGGATCTCCCTAACCCTCAAAGACAGTACTGAAACCAGTGGAGCTGTATTCAGGATTAACAGTTTATACTGATTTCAAGAGACCAAAACGTGAAGAAATTGGTCTAGATCCAACTTCAGGGGATCAGCAGTCCTTATTTGAAAATCAGTACAGTATTTTTATTCACGACATGATACGAAGTTTAACTACACATAATACAAATGTAGATTATCTACATTAGGCTACTGCAAGTTTTGCACAGATATTTTATATAATTCAATAGTACTTGAGCTCATGCTGTGATAAAAGAATGTTTAAGTGACTGGCCAGGGAAAACTGAGTGCAACTTCCCTGCTGAAATTAAGGAAATGTGGGTCTGATCAATTCTTTGGATGGGAATCCGTCAGGAGTTCCAGATAAGAGTGGGGTATATAGAGAAAATAGAAAGTAAAAATATCTTGATCAAATCATTATGTCCGTAGAAGGATGGCATTTCCCCCCCATAGGAGCAAATTCCACCTATACAGGTTGTTTTTAATAGCACATCTTATTTCAAAGGTTGCAGGCCATAAAAGTTCCATGTTGAAACATCAGCAGAGGCAGGCAGCCCTTGAGAAACTGCATGCACAGCTAGTCCTTGAATACCATACAACGCACGGATCAGTTACCATTCACCCAGCCTAGTTCTGTACCAGAAAGCTTTTGAACTGCCTTGAATTGTATAGCAGACACGTGGGCATAGTTCTGTAGCTACTCATGAACAACCCTGCCTAAACTTCTGTAGCTGTTTGTGTTGTGTAAAATGATTTTTAAAACCACACCTTGTGCCTTGCTTGCATGAGAGAAAGCAGGCGATGTGCATGGCTGAAGAGAGATTGCACAGGTGCCCCAGGGGCACCCCAGCTTGTAACCTGCATAATCCTGGGCCACTGTTATAAAATTTGTAATGGTGAAAATTTTTTATGGAAGCTAGATGAAGCAGACCCTCCCTTAACCATACGCATGACTGAATTTATTTGAAGGGGGGGGGAAGGTTTAGTAGAGTGGTCCGCTCTTCTTACTGGTGCTTATTTCTGTACATTTGACATCCGAGTGCCCAGTCTCCATAAGCCTGGTGGTTCTACAGGCTCATCCCTGGCCATTAGAGAACAACATCAACAATTCCCACCTGCCCTCTTTTGCCTTGCAATTGAAAAAAAATCCTGAAAATGTTGTATTATTTTTGCAGCCAAAAACACTTTTGGAAAAAAAAAGTGTTTTCTAAAGTCATTTATATTGTGGATAAAGGAAATCCATTGGTGGCAGTGAGGGAAAGAGAAGACTGAACCCTTTGTGAGGACACAACATATAGGTGCATCAAAGGAGTGAACGTCACAATCAGTGTCAGCTGGTGGGATGACATAATGGGACCTCTTTGTTTGGTGAAACAAGCAGGGACCACATGGTAAATGTCACAGTGGGGTTCTAAACCAATTATTTTCCATTTTTTAAAAAGCACTGGGGGTTTGAAGGTGCCCCAATGGTACTGGGGGCCACACATGGGTCTGTGAAGGCTACACGCAGCCTACAAGCCACTTGTTATCTACCCCTGCTTTAACAGGAAGTGGCTTTGTGGATGCAAACACGTGGTAGTGCTTACATCCACGCCATCAAAAAGGTTATCTGCTGATTTTGGCAGATCAAGGCAGAAAGGTATGGGAGCTAGCTGTTTTCTCCTCAGTTACTGGGGACTCTGGAATTCTGTAATAGGATATTCAAAAATCAGGTTTTGTTTATTTGGATTTATGCAAAGTAGGAGAAACTTTTTTTTTAAAGGATACGAAGTTTGCAGCTTCAGAAGTTGAGAAAACAGTGTCTCAAAGTTATTGAATATCTCAGCAGCATTGGCAGGTGATGTAGCCAAGCCAAAAGGCTGAGACTGTGCTGGTCCAATGAATGGCCAATGAAGGTGAGTTAAAGTTTCCTCAAAGTCACTACAATAAAAGAAAAAGCACTGCTATTATCATGCAGAAATCCAAAGAAAAATGAAAAAAACTAATTTTGTATTAGCTACCTTGAGAGTTTATCTTTCAGTATCTTGTGCCAGAATTGAACAGTAGATCTCATAAAAGTGAGAAGATGAGAACATGAAGACTCCTGAAGCTTTATATCTAATTCAGCCATGGATACCAGAGTAGTTGCAGCATCTGGAACATTGTTGGTCATAAGATATTGTTGAATGTTGTCACTAGTAAAGAAAAATGAACTTTTGGTTAATAAACAAGAGACAGTGCCTAGCTTATCACCCACTGAACATGGTATTAGGTGGAGCAAAAAAAGGGACAAAAAGCCCCTTTTAAAGTCAATTTCAGATAAATAGCACATGTTCAGATAGATGCCCCATGTTCATAGATAGAATTTTAATGAATATCAAGAAAAAAATGTATTTTGAATTGTAAAACTAAAAGGAAAAACAAATATTACCATGAAAAATAGCAAAAAATATCAAAGCACAAGCCAAATCTCCATGTCAAATTAGTTATACATATCCCAGCCATTCAAGTGTGTTGTAAATGCATAAACTACTCCTATCACATTAACTCTCAAACAACAAAGCCCTGATGAATACAATTTCAACATTTCTAGAAAGGGCCTCTGAGCATTCCTTTTATCAGGCTGTGTAAGGTTTTGATGGCTCCAAATCATCATGCCCAAAGCATATGGTATCATTAGGCATACAATTTACCTTAACTCTTCTATTTGTGAAATCCATTTCAAATAAGCAAGGTGCCGTTCAACTTCTTTTATCTGACTTATGAGTACACCAAGATCCTCCATCCATGGCTTGGATGTCAACAAGTGGTTATTAATGGAATCATGCAAAACTCTTTCTTTTTCTAGAAGTTGACAGAGTGACTTCTTAGAATCTTCTGCATTCTGTAAGGCTTTCTGAATTCTTTTGGGAACTTCAGATGAAACCGTGAGCACCTTTATAAATGTATATAAATGTGAAAAAGTAATAGGTATCTATACTTCCTGTTCTGGAACAGTCCCATCATGCAGCTCAAATTAATCTCAAAATAACACTTTGGTCCTTTCAAACTCAGGATAGGAACAACAGAATCCAGATGAGCAGAAACACAAAATGATCCTTCCTTACCCCTGCCACCTTTTGGCGCCCCAAAACCTGCTCCAGAAGCTGGTGAACTTTCCAGAGCTGGTTTCCCAGAGCTAGAGATATGTTAGCAGACATAAATGCTCCTTTCTTCTGATGTAATTTACAGGCCAAATCTTGCCATGCAGTTAGGCAAAATGTGTAACTTTTCGCAGCAAACTGCTGTGAAGAAATCTCCACATGCACTATCTGTTGCATAGTGAATATATATTTTTAAAAGCCTTCCCCTGCGTTGAAGAGGAAAAATAACACCAACTGAGTCTGCATGCTTTGGACATTATGTACATCAGAAATACTGAACTGTTATTTCCAAAACATGAGTGTGAAACTTACTTAGAAGTGGGAGTGATTCTATTTCCCACCATATAGCCAGACAAGAGAGCTGGATGTTCATGGGGATGGAATGTTTCGATCAACTGTAGAACATATGCAACTCACCTGTTCTTCTAACTTCATTTTGCTTTCTGACAGCTGCTCAATAAGGTGACCAACCTTGCTTAGTGACTCACAGTCAATGCCAACCTCCCTTTCCACAAATTCAGACACATAGAAAGGAATATCACAGCACTCTGGGTCCCTAGGCATGCTTTCTTCTCCAGTGTTAAGAGCTTCCAGCTTAGTACCATCTGTAGGGCTGGATTTAAAAGTTTCTCATTAACTCCTACAGCAGAACTACCACAATATTCTTGAAAATATAATACTTTTGGGGACAAGAGTCATTAGCATACTTTTGTTTAGTAAGAGCATTAAATATAATAGAGGCACACAGATTGCATTCAGCAGGATAGCTAAGTTGGGAAAACTCTGGGAGCGCACCAAGGATCATACCAAGAAAAACTGTATACCACAAGAGCAAATGTGCAGGATTTCCCCCCTCTGGCAGGCTGTCCTTCATGTGATCAATCAAGCAACTACATCATATGCCCAATTTCAAAACCAGTCTATTAATAGTTAGTTACACAAAGGAGAGTTTGTAATTGGGAGGGACACCTGTGCAATTGCTCTTGTGTTCCTTACTTCCTCAACAGAATTCTGGCCTGTATGTTTAAAGAACTCAAGGCATTCTCATAAGAAGTATTTTCCTCCAGGTAGCGTATTTCTAAGCAGTTCTTATACTGCAAATATATCCTGCATGACAGACAGTTTGTATCAATGAGAGAGAAAAATACTCCAGTTTCTGCAGTGTCACAATACTGGAAAGATTTCCTAGGCATAAAGGAATAACTTTGTTAGAGATCAATTTACAGTAAACACAGTGATCTCTCTGCAGTAACTGAGTGCCAAGATAAGAGAATTCATTCTGAAGAAGAAAATGGGCAGGATGCCATGAAATCCACTTCCTTTAGGACTGGGAAAGTATCCTACCTAGAGTCAAAGACCTTCAGATTTCTTTCTCTGAGCAAGGGCTTCGTTTCTCTCTATGTCTCCCTTAGTTTAACTTGGGAGTTGTATAAGTTCCACTTCCCAGGCTACCACTTTCCCACATGGATGGGACTGCTCTTTCACCTGAATGTTCCCAATTATTACCCTAGAACTGTTATGTAAAAGTACTCACCAGAATAGCTGAGCTTCTTCAGGATCTTCCGCTTCTTCCCCTGATCCTTCTTCTTTGTTTGTCTCCTGCTGAAAGAGAAAAGCTATGAGTCAGACTCCTCCTTGCACTCTGCATTAGCATCCAGAAGTCCTAAATGTGTTGGTGCCTTGCCAGCCCCAGTTTTCCATATACAGTACTGTAGACTGTTTGTAATGGCAACTGGGAGTTATAATGCCAGCAACAGGTCAACCATTCCCTTGTAGCAGAAGCTATTTGAGCTCACCAAAATTTCCATGGTTTGGGGGTTTACTATGTCCTCCCAAGATCCATCACTTTCCAAAGGATACAAAATGTATCTAGAAGACATTTCCACCTGAAACCCCCCTCTGTGTTTCCATTATAAGTTCAAAGGAAAAAAAACAGTTTAGTCAGGTTGAACAAGAACATGACATGCTCTTGCAAACATACAGATTCATAATCATGCACAAATTTACTGCTACTAGACAGTTTTTTTGAATATTAAACCAGATTAGTATTATTATTTCTTTGCTTTATCACCCATACTTTCTAATCGTTGTTGTTTAGTCGTTTAGTCGTATCCGACTCTTTGTGACCCCATGGACCAGAGCACGGCAGGCCCTCCTATCTTCCACTGCCTCCCGGAGTTGTGTCAAATTCATGTTGGTTGCTTCGATGACACTATCCAACCATCTCATGCTTTGTCGTCCCCTTCTCCTCCTTCTAATACTGAGTCTCAAAGCTGTTCCCAATACAATAAAAATGGGAACCAATGTTCTATAAGGCAATCATTGTGAATTTCATTCATTGAACATGCTTCCATCCAACTGGGAATTCTCTCCTAAGAAAGTTGATCTGCCATAGACTCTTTCAATTCTCATAGGCTTTTTAGTTTTTGTTCTTTCTTGATTGTCAGCTGCCATGACACATACCTATACTATTGCTTCATACCAATGAACAAGTGTGCAAACTGAAGTTTAATCAAGCACTGCTGAGCTGCAGTTCCTAGAACTGCTGCAGATCTTGGAACTGCAGAGCTCGAAGGGATCCTATGGATCATCAAGTCCAGCCCCTGTCAAGGAAGCACAGTGGGGAATTGAGCTCCCAACCTCTGGCTCCACAGCCAGAAACCTAAACCATTCAGCTATCCAGCAGTTTTTAATTATATACTTGCTTAATGAACATATGGTTCTTCTCCTAAAAAAAGTAATTTTATTGCACTGAAAATAAAACAAACTATAAGAGTTGAAAGACATATATTTTTATTTTTAATAAAATGAAAAATACATTCACTGACCTCTTTAGGAATGAAAGGTTCTTCACTTTTGAATGGTGGTTGTGCCATCTCCAATACACACAAAGTCATGAGCAGTATTCTGCAGCAAAACATTATTTGCATTTTGGACAATTAAAAATAAGGTATGATGACTTGATTAAAGTATAAAATGTACTAAGTTAAAAAAAAACCTATCTTTATATAGGAGGCTATCTTGGCTGTGATCACAGAAAGGTTGTTATAGAGCTTAAAATATTATCTGCACAAATTTGCATGTTATTCATAAGGCAAACGTGACATAAGTATCTATTTTTATTTCTTCACTACTTTTTGTTCCATTGATAGAAGTTTCTGAATGGAAAGGTAAATCATAGACCTGTTAGTCTCACTCAGTAAAAACAACAGAGCAGGGTTCAATGGAATAGAGTTCATTGGTGTGAACATATGACTATCAGAACTCATAATGGCATCCTGGAGCCACTACCCTATTCTCCCCAATGTTTATTTCAATGTATATTTCCTATCTTGCCTAAAACAAACCTGGGACACAACTAATAGATGTCCAGTATTACAAGCACTCATACTGACTAACATGATCTTTCATGCTCACTCGTTTCCAGGGTCTTCCAACTTTATTGCTTCTCCTCACCTCCCCATTCTATACTTCTGACTCGCATTTTTAGATCAGAAGCTATTGTCTAGATTTTGTTCATTTAATATTCCATAATTAATAATAATTTGGGTCCTAACATTCTTTCAGGATCATTCCCCACTGGAATATATCCATGTAGGGATAAAACTCTTAACAGATTTCACCACTTCTCAAAATGAGCGATGTTTTTATTTTCTAGCATTTAAATATGGCTCACGGACACTTCAGACCCTCATATGAATCACAAGCCTTCACTACATATGGGATTGAGGAAATCAGATCTACCTGATAGGGTTAGAAAGCTGGCCAATGAGCAGACCTCGTCACCCACAGTACCAGTGCAATTAACAACTGTATGGTGCTGAGACCAGATGTTACACCAAGGAAGTCTTTCCAGAAGAGAAATCTGCAATTTATAATGAAAACCTTCAGGTCTTCCCCTCCTCTTCTCCTGCCACAGAACGAGCTCTGCTCCCACTCTCACCTACACCCTTCAGCCTGAAACATGCAGGCAGGGATGGCCTTTAGCTTAGACACCTGTCAAGGAGAGATGCTGCTGCTGTGTGCCAGAAGGGCCTCCCACAAGTAAAATAAATTTCAGCACTAGAAGAGGGGTGGCACAACTCCCAAGTACAACCCGGGGAAGAAACAGATAACGGAGGGAGCCTCCCACCCCCGGAGCTGGGAGTGGCCCCTTTTGGCAACTACTGTACATGCGGGGCCAGGGGGGCAATCCTAAAGCCACCGTGGATGCCACGGCATGCCTTGCGCCCGGCCAGGCCAGGCAGTTTTGGAGCTGTGTGGCTGCTCCTCCTCCTCCTCCTGTGGTTGGCACTGCACAGGCAACCCCCTCCCCGCACTGCCACGGAGCAAGCGAAGCGAAGCCGGAGGGGGGGTGAAGCCACCACCAAGAGGGCCGAGGCCAAAAGGGGCGCGGCTGCCGAACCTCCACTCCGCAAACTGCCCGGTATATCCCAAACTCCCCTCCCCCTCACGCACCCCACTCCCACCAGTGGAGCCCGGCGCGCGGGGGGTGGCGGCACGAGGGCAAGAACGCGCGCCAAGACCCCTTACCCATTCAGGCGCCTGCAGCCCGTGGCCACGCCCCCTTCTGCTGTGGCTTGACGCGGCGGCACCCCCCTCCTCCCCCAGCAGCCTCCTCAGCCCGCCCAACACCGTCAGCTGTAACTCCGGAAAGGGGCGGGAATAACAAGGCGCCGGGGAGGAGATAAGATAGCCCCGCCCATCCGTTTGTATGGTCACGTGGCACTCAGGCGCACCGTTTAGACGCAAGCTTGGCCGCTGGAGCTGGGATATAGACGCTCCTGTAAAGATGTCAGACGTGTACATAGAGCTCGGGTTCCGGGTTGCCTTTGGAAGCCATTCTTTTCTGCTTCGCTTCAGGATGGAAAGAATATCCAATCGAATGCAACGGGAGTAGGGCGGGCCGAGGCGGTTTAGCCTGGGAGGCGTTGCTAGTTGTTCTCAGCGCTCACGTGTCCTCACGCGGAAGAAAGTATTTCTTGCCTGCCCTAATGCAGGAAGGAAAGGCAATAAAAAAGGTTCATTCCACATTTCTGAATACCGTTCTGCTAGCTCCATTTTTAATATGCATATGGGGTATCATGTCCTTTTTGTTGAGTCAGAAGAGCTGTGGATACTTCCGAGTGGTTTACCCGCAGCCTTGCATGCATCGTAGGTAGCATGCAGTCAGCATTCTCACGTTGTAGATGCCACCGAGACTGGACAGAACCTGCTGGCCGGTGTTACTGTTTTGCAAGCTCAGCCAGTGTGCAACTGTGCAGTGGGGAAACTGTGGTTTAACCTGTTGTGATCCGCTGTTTTTCAAAACGGGTTTCCATGGGTGAAATCGCTGTAACTGCTCAAGTTACAAATTTGCAGCAGTTAGCAGGAACAAAGGTACAGAGCTGTGTTTGCATGACGCTCCCCACACCAGAAGCCATCTTTGACAAGTTGCTAACAAGGTGTCAATTGGCAATTTCCACTCTCTTACAGTATTTAGCTTTTCTAAATGTACCATACAATTGCACTCATTTCACACGCTAGCAAGGTTACGCTCAAAATCCTACAAGGTAGGCTTCAGCAGTACGTGGACCAAGAACTCCCAGAAGTACAAGCTGGATTTT